GCTCGAGCGTTCTCGCATCTACACTCTGTAGACAGCTCCCACGCTGCCCGTGTTCCGAACTGACATGATCGTGGGCAGAGCACAGCTTGCCAGTTCCCTCCTTCTCACGCGACCCAGTCTCCCCGTGCATACGCACAGCGCGCTGAAGCAGCCATAACCATAGGCCAAGTACGCCTTGCGCACCCGTYCGAAGTCTCCTCTGCTCTCAATCGAGCTACTTCCTCTACGCAGCTCGCTGTTTCTCCCTGTACCGTTGACCTCCCTGTATGAGGCGGCCATGGTCGGCTGGGTACACCGTGCATGCTTTTTTCCCCCCACGTCACTCCCCTCACACGCGGAGTAACCGCCTCCGCGCTGGCGCGTCTTCCCCGTGCTTGAATACGCGGGTACACCTTGCTCGTACTGACCGCGTCCCCCCCTTCTATCATACATCCGCCTAGCTATATTCAGAACGGAGTTCCCCCCCTTCACCAGTTCTCTGGCCTTGGCTTCATGCAGGGCGTCCTGAGAAGGCCAAAGTTGTTCGTTGTCCCCAAACCGCTCTGGGCTGGCCCCCGGTCAATCGTAGGGCCCGGTACGCCCGTCTACGCCCGCTCGATGCCCATTCCTAGTTCAGTACTTCGGAATCGCAATTTCCCTTTCGAGACCTGGGGACCGAACCGCACAGATCATATCCGTATGAGGCCACATAGATGGCAATGCTGAAAGCCGGAAATAATAGAGTGACCCGCACCCCACTGATGGCGCACCGACGGCGAACCCCCAAAAAAAAACGCTGCCACCTCGAAACCATCTCCGAATCTGAAACACGTAGAGTACCGCGGAACGCCGCACTGAACCTGAGTACCATGGAATGTAGCCACACCGGTGAAATTCCGAACTTGAGCCTTAGTGCCGCGCCCATACCAATTCATCACCGATCTCTGAACCTTGTCGTCGGCGAGGTAGTTCGGGTCTGATAATAAACCTACATCGTGTCCCCGGATCTGAAATAATCCGCAGCGTTGGTGCAGCACCTGAAATAACCCGATGTGATGATACCGAGCCTGAAGTAAACCCCGGTGGTGGCCCCGGATCTGACAATAGATCATGGTAGTGGCATCGAAGCTAAGATAAATGGCCGTAGCGGCCCCAGACGTAGAGATAAACCTCCATAGTCGTCCCGAACCCGAAATAAAGGGCCATACCGGTGCCGAACTTGAAAATGGCTGCTGAAATATCCCGCTGAAATATCACGCTGAGGTGGCTCCGAACCTGATATTGAGTCATGCCGATGTGTCCGAACCAGAAAATAAGCCACCGTTGTAGTCGTAAACCCGAAAGGAAGTCATCGTAGTGGTCCCAAGCCCGAAACAACTGACGTCGAGCCCATACCGAACCAGGAACACGTCGGATACCGTAGGTCGCAGCCACTCCGTAACAATAYCGAACGTCTTCGAACCATGTATTCGTTCCGAGCCAAATACCATATTGTCGGTCCAAGGTAGTACCACCCCATGCTGTCCATGCGACTCCCGCTCTCAGAACATCCCAACTGCGGCAAAGTTAGTAGTCAAGCAAACCAGAGAAAGCGACCCAGGAATCTCGATCATCGGCAGTAGTCAAAACTGTTAGAATCTAGAGAAAATGATCAATCTGGGGTCAGAGCTGATGGCGGGTAATCGAGGCGAAATTAGGCCAATCTCCCAATAGTCATGGGTTCCCGGCCCTTTCATCGTTTTTAATCATTCTTCCTTTTCCTTAATTCTATCGTCTGAAATAGTAAATTAACCGTAAATTCCCAAAAATTAAATTTCGAGAAAGTTTAAATAAATGGTCGAATTCCTTTTGTTTCCTTTCTCTTTTACCATTTTTAATCTTTTTCTATGTTTTTAATTTCATTGCCGGGAACATAAAATAACAAGGGTATTCCCCCTTGAATTAAATGCCGTAAAAAATAAAGAAATTGAGGTATACTATGTTTTTCCCTTCTCCCCTACTGGTCGTAATCCCTTTTCCCCATCTTTAATTATGATACTAGAATAGACAAAAATTTGAGGCCTCATTTCGGCCCCGGTCGTAAGCCGCAAAAAATGTGGCTGCGAGATCAGTTCCCGCRATGCCTCTCCGCGGCAGGCCAATCYGGGTCTAACCCTCTGAACGGCCGGAAATGACGGTCCGTTGATGCGCCGAGTGCGACCACCCATCTCGCCATCTTTGAGGGTTACCCGTAAGGTTCAGCGCGCCCAAAATCAAGGGCGCCCTGAGCTCCCCTAATTTCCGCTGCCTGGTCTTACCAGAGTTCAGTCAAAACTCAGACTCGTCTTCACGCCTAAGTCCCAAAACCGTAGATTTCAGGCGGCACACTGCTTGTGGCCGCCTGACAACGTGTCAACCGACGCGAGCAGCCGTGCACCGACCTTCTCTCTCTGTCCCTTCAGCGCGCGCACGTGTCAACCTGCGGGCGAAGGCAATCGGCGAATGCACCTGTACGATCCAAATGCGCCCCTGGATAGAGTGCTCTCGCCCTTCCGACCTCCACGCAAATTGTTTCCGCCGCGCCCCGGCCTTTCTCAGCGTCGTGTCGCTTGGCGGGGCCGCCCGCCGCCCCCGCGTGGCAACCGTCGCCGCCCGCCTCGATCCTCCACGGCCAGACCCGCTTGGTCCCAGGCAATCCCTCACTCGGCCCCCTTGCCAGCGTGCCCCTGCGTCGATTTTTGTTGGGCCCGCGTCCGCCTGTTACGTTGGGCCCGTTTTACCTTTTAAGAGTATAGAGATAACAAGCAACATGAAGCACAGTAGATCCGTTATATCCCGTTTTTAAGTATCTTTGCTTTGGCTTTCTTTGGGGTTCCCCTTTTATTTATTCTTGGAGCTCCCCTGTTACTTTGCCTCTTACGTACAAGGCTGGCCACGTTGATTGTGGTTGAGTGCCAGCTGCCACTCCTGTTCATTTTTCTTTAGATCTTCAGTTCATATTTTATCTGTTCTCTTGATGATGCTCATTTGTATGCTTTTACCAGTAGTACACAAGAGGAGGGAGGAAGGAAAGGGATAGGGGGTGGAGTTCTTTAGGAGGCGAGGGGCAGGGAAGGAAGAATGGGTAGAGGAGGGAAGTGGAGGGGCGAAGAACAGAACAGAGGAAAGATGAACTTCACAGGGTTCTCAAGACTCGCCACTGGAGCAGACTACTCTAGAATGGATTGGAAGGCCAGTCAGTGTTTGCGTTGCAGAAGCTCCCGTTGCCTATGGTAAGTGGCCACCTCTACAGACCGGACAAGACCAGTTCGGGTGTGGAAGGTGTTTGAGTGTGTGTGTGTGTGTGTGTGTGAGAGAGAGAGAAAGAGAGAGAGGCTGATGTCGATCAACTGCGAATACTGTCATTTTCTTTTCTCTCTGACTCCATTCCAGCCCCCTATTTTTTTCAACCTTATTGTTGCAGAGTGATGGTGCTTTGAAGTGTACCATCATCGAATCCTATCGATTGTGGTGTCGGAAGAAGCTGGAAGACTTGCAATGAACTTGCAGATTCCCAGCGGGTTGTAAAATAAGAGGTCCATTTCGGGAATTGGTTTTTGTGTTGTAACCTAGGCTACCAGAGTGGCGCCGGACCACTTGCCTGGCTGGGCAACAACAACAAGAAAAAAAAAAAAAAAAAATTGGTAAGGAATTTCGATGTGACGCTGAGGCAGAAGTTGTTCAGTTTATTTTTCTGCATAACATAGTTTTTTTTTTCGAATTTTTTGGACGTAGTTTTTTTTTTTTTTTTTTTTTTTGGCTGGGACCTTCTCTGGTCCTTGCACGGCCGGGTGGCCTGGGAAAACGAGGTGACCCGTTTTGGCGGGGACCTTCTCTGGTCCTTGCACGGCTGGGTGGCCCGGGAAAACGAGGTGACCCGCGCGGCCCGGCTGGTAGCCTAGGTCCTAACCAGTAACCGTGACAGGTGTTGTTCCACAGGAACTTTTCTGTGAAATACTAAAATCCCAGGCCCTAGGCCGCTCGTACTGCTGCCTGGTACCGGTACTGTTACAGGAATTGCAGGCCCATGTTGGATGTGGACTCTAGGTCCTAGATGTCCGTGAGTCCAGTAGGCTGTAGAGGGAGTCCAGAAATAGGACGGGTTCGAAGTAGAACGGGTTCTTTCGATCGTGGTTCCCATCGGACAGTGGGATGCGCTGTTTGGAGGTTGGGAAGAGATGCCATCATGCAGGTGGGAAGCTGCGCCATAGCTGAGGTCGCGGCAAAGCTGGAAAGCAGCGCTGAAGCATGGGCTTTCAAGCTGAGGTCGCGGCGAAGCTGGAAAGCAGCGCTGGCGTTGCGACACTGATGCTGTGTGGTGTCGGGGTGAGGCGCTGCCAGATGTTCTTCTTCATGGCAGCCTGTTCCTTCTTCTTTGAAGCTGAAGTTTCTTCTTCGCCAGGGGAGCTAACGATCTTGGGTGCCAGTTGGGCGCTGACTCAGCACTCCGTGTTTGAGTGGTTTCTGATTGGAGCTGAGGTAGGGAGGAGGCACTGGTAGTCTGCGTGTTCAATTGGTTTGGCGCTGGTTGCTGACGAGTGTCATAGCCAGCATCTGTGGTGATGATGTTGGGGGAAGGAGAAGACTCCAGGATAATTTGATGAAGTTTTTGGTTGTTTGTTCGGGGTTGTTGAAACACGGTTGGGATCCTTGGAATTTTATACATCTGATTGATCGGAGGAGGAAAGGGGAATAAGCATCGAAGTTTCACATTCAGTTCTATTTTTGTATGTTGAGCTCCCGCTGTGTACTTTCTCTCCGGTTTTGTGTGGATTTGCCTTCTCCAAGTCTGCTTTGTCACTGCATGTGTATGGGAATGTGTGGATGCTTTGCCGGGATGGAATTTCAATCAGTTACATTACAAGACTACCGTCTTCGCCTGAATAGAACGCCAACCATTGTTATTGTAATCTGGACCGAAAATTACATCAAATATAGCAATAATGACTGAGCGTTCTATTCCGGTGAATACGGTGGTTAATTTGTTGAATTTTGTTCATTGACTAAGCTGTTGATGATGTGTATTTGCCCCTCCCTTGTTGTATTGCTGCAGGACTGAGAGCTTGTGTGTGCGAAAGGGAGTTCCAGACATTAAGGTCTTTCTGGGTAGAAGTCCGACAGACCCAAGCCGCCCCAGAACTTGTGCTACGCTCAAGAAGCCAAACCTGGGGTTCCCTTTGGCGGACAAAGTCACCAAACCTTTCCAGGAGCTGTTGTATGTGGCAGCGCAGCTGATCGAGGTTCGAGTTCTCATGTCCCTGTTGCTGCTGCTGCTGCTCTCTCTCTCTCTCTCTCTCTCTCTCTCTCTCTCTCTCTCTCTCTCTCTCACACACACACACACACACACACACACACACACANCTCTCTCTCTCTCTCTCTCTCTCTCTCTCTCTCTCTCTCACACACACACACACACACACACACACACACACAGACACACACACACACACACACACTCACACAACACACATGCACTCACACATCAGATGACGCCACTCAATGCTTCTCCCTGTTATTGCCAGGAGATCCTTAGACAAGGACATTGATTGCTTCCTTTTGGAAGGATATACCCCTGCTCTGCCCCTGCTTTTTGCCCTTCTTTAAATCCTGAGTCATGTGTTGTTACCAACTACCTCTGCTGTGCTGTCCTAACCCCTGACACCATTGATTGCTTCCTTTGGAAGGCTTCCCCAAGTCTTTTTTCTTTTTTCTTTTTTTCTTTTTTTAATTACCCAAGTGGCTTTGCTAGGAGAGCTGATGAGAGCACCCCCTCCTGGCAAGAGGCCCGGGTGCGCCGGTCTATTGGTGGGGAGCGGCACCTGCTGGAAAGCGGGTCCAGCATCCCATTGTACATCCGACAGCCTGCCAGCATTGATTGCCCTGTTTCCAGGGGATTAACTGTGGACGGTTAATGATGAGTATGTTGGACAACAGTACACTTCAGGGCACCGCCTCTTCAGTCTGCGCCAGACGGACAGATCACTCGTGTTTCCCTAGCGGCTACTTCTTACTTCTTTTGAATACCCGCCGATACCTTCCGTGTCCTGTTTGTCGACCCGCTTCTTCCTTACTTGGTCTCAACGGCCTGTGGTCTTGCCTGTGGTCTTGCTCATTCTGCTCCGTACCATTGCATGTCGACCATTGCCAGCGGGTGGGGTGGGAAGGGGTTGGGAATTCTGTGGATCGTTGCAGCGGGATCTCCTGGCCCATCTTAGTCCAGTCTCTGAAGCAAATACAGTAGTCTCTCCTGAATTCCTCCTGGTTACACCTCTGGGTGGGCCTGCCATCCCATCAGAGAAATGCGATCCAGCCCCCATTCTCGCTGCCCAACAGTCCCCAAAGAATTGATGAATTGCTTGTGATATGTCCTTTGATGATTGAAACAGCTCAAGTTGGTTTTTAACTTTTTGCCACTGTACCACTAGTTCTTGTTGGATATATTGTCATAACGTGTCTGAAACCTCTTCCTGAGCTACGTCGACCCCCTCGATAGCATGGGTACAACGTTTTCTCCAGAGAGTCCACATGACCGCTCTCCTCCCTAACTTGAACATGTTGTTTTCAAAAGTATTGTCAGTGGGGGAGGTCCATGCCTCGCATAATATGGCCCTCCAATCCCATGCCCAGCTCGACCCAGTGCCTAGCAGTGTCCAGATCCTATCCCACCATCGCCATGTAAGAACAGCCCATGGACACTGCATGAATTTATGCTTTATGGTTTTCGGAATACTGGGGGAGGGGAAGATGGTGTGGCACGATTTACACCACGGAGCGCCCGCCCCTTCTGCTCTAGATATGTACGATCTATCAACCAGTCGTTGGTGGGCAGGCAACGGTGTTCTATCTGCCACTGCAGCGAGGCCATCTTTGCTGGCCTATACCGTGTGGCGGTGAACGATCGGACGGGGCGGATTGCCTCAGTTCCTACATTCAAATGAGATCTCCATCGGGCCTTCACCGTTTCTTTTATGTTCACCTTTGGTCGCAGCAGACGGTAAGTAGCCTTCACCGTCAATGTATGCAACTTTAGATTCTCCCCCGACCTACATTTTCCCGTAGGGGCCCACTGCCATTCCTCGGGGTCAAAGGGGAGATCTGTCACGGGGGTATTTGGCTGGTATGCGATCCACTCGTCTTTGTCCCGCAGCACACGGATTTTGTGCAGGTCTGCATTTCTCCATCATCTCATCGCCTCTGGGGTGTACCGAGTGAGCACATTATCCTTGCCTATGTGGAAGAGGTTAACCAGCGTTTCGTCCAGTCACGCCTCCACCACATTGCCTACACTTTCCGGATCACCCGGGGCCGCTACCCAATCCCATTCTACGAGTCGCGGCCCTTTGTGCAAGATGCGCACCCAGTTTAGGGGGATAGCGAAGATCAGCGATTCGATGTGCTCCTCAACATTGTGACAATACTTCAGTGTAGTCCTTAGTTACTACGCAGTTTTCCAGTCTCCCTCCCCTATATTCCATATATCCTTTATTCTGGTTATACCTTTTTTGACCCAACTGTTCCATGGAGTGCTTGAGTTACAATACACCCTGCTATACCGGTCCGTAATCCTCCTGTTCCCAAAAAGGGGTTGACGCATCACCTCCTCCCACCTAGCCGGTGGGAGTAGAGGTAGTTGGGCGCCATGCTTTCAAAACACGGGCCCGTAAGTTGTCCCTGCCCAAATCTAGGCGCATTGTGTACGGTACGCAGCTGGACCGTTTCGAGGGGACCGTGGCACAGTCCAGAAAAGGTCTTCCCGCCAGGTTAATGGGTTGATTCTGTGCGGTGTTTGTGGGGCAAGTCTAGCTATCTGTTCCAGCGCAAGGGTGTGCCATGGGAGACGCTGAGTGAAGAACAGTCTCCTAACTCATTGGACCATTAATGCTGTGATTTGGGTATCTGGGGCTAGAATCCCCAGGCCCCCATTGTCTTTGGGTTGGATCACCGATGACCAGGCCACCTTGCTAATAACATTCGGGAGCTCACCGTTGCTTCTCCATGGCAGGGCTGTTAACTGCCGCTTTAGCGATCGGACGACCTCCTTGCCGAGGGCCCAAATTGCAGATTTGTACCAGAGGGCCACCCGTACTACAATGTTGATCGCCAGCACCCTGCCAATGACGGAGGTGTGTCGGTCTTTCTAGTGAGCCAATTTCTCTAAAGTGGGCTTCAGGATCCACTCATCATTCGATGCAGGCTTTGCCTAATGTCGTTAACATGATTCCCAACACCCTGACCGGGGCCGTTTCTTGGAGCCACTTGACCTATGGTAGCTCGGGGGGGCGGGCCCCAAGGTTTTGTTTCCCCAATTGCCGGTCATGTCTGAGATCGCAGTGAATCGGTCAAATAATCGTCTGACCTCTTTCATGTTTGTTGCGGTTGCGTCGATCATCAGTGCCACGTCGTCCACAAACATCGAACAGATAGGGATTGCGTCTTCTTGGATGGCCGAGATCTGCAGCTTCCTCAAGTCTTTGTTGGTGCGGAGGTTTGCTGCCAGCGCTTCCATCACAATTATGAACAGGAAGGGTGCCAAAGGGTCTCCTTGGCGAACCAACCGTTGCAGCGGGAAGGCCGACGCTATCCTTCCATTGACTTGGACATGTGGTGGCATTGTGATGTAGTATTTCGGTCTAGCGTGGAAAGACTGGCCCGATGTTCATTTTTTCCACACATTTGTCTAGGAATAGCCAGTCCACGTGGTCGTAGGCTTTTTTGAAATCAATGAAGACCACAACCACATTCTGCTTGTCCTGCCTTGCTAGTTTAAAGAAGTTCATTGACTAATAGGATGTTGTCCTGCATTTTGCGCCCTTTGAGAAATCCGGGTTGCGTTGGATGGATAATATCGTCCAAGACCGGGATCAATCGATTTGCCAAGGCTTTCACTAGCATTTTATAAACGACTGTAAGCAAAGTTATTGGCCGGTAGTTCCAAATATCCATCTTGTCTCCCTTTTTGTGCAACAAAGTGAGAACGCTCTGCCCCACCAACCCCCATCCGCCCTATTTCCCACACCTGCTGATAGAATTCCATGAGGTCCGGGGCCATCTGAGATCAGACGGTCTCCCATAATTCCTTTGGAAGCCCATCAATGTCTGACGTCTTCTCTTCCTCCATCTGCATCATTGCCGTCCAGATCTCCTCCTTGGATAGGGGCGATCCAGGTCTGTTTTCTACTGTCCTGTCAGGGTCTTCTCCAATGGTTTCAAGAAGTCCCCAATTTCTTTCTCCCTGACGTTCCTCCTGTCCGGCGCACCTTGAGGTAAACAGGTCCTGGAAGAAGGATCTTGCTATCTACGTGCAATGGGGGGAGGAGGGGATGATATTTTGGTGACCGGTCTGCAGATCGTATAGCGCCTCGATGGTTGTTCTACGTGAGCGTACACGGGCCATGCTAAGGAATTTTTTATCCATTGTTCATTATGTTTGATACCTTGTCAGTCATCCTCTTATTCGTGTGCCCTCCCAGCGTTGTGTGTCAAAGGTTTGGACGCGTTGTCGCAGCGTTTGTATTAGTGAATACTCTGCTTGCTGTGAATTTTGGATACCGTTTGACTGATCCTGGTGCTCAAGCTGCTGCAGTTGTTGGTGTATTTTCATCTCCTGCTGATGTTTCCTGGCTGCTAAAAGTTTAGAATATTCTTGACATTTTTTTCCTAGATAGAACAGTCCGTTGTTAAACCAGTCTATTTCCTGCTGAAAGTGCTATTTTTGCAAGTGCCAGTAACTCTGAAAGGTTTTCTGCTGTAAGGTAAGGGTAATGAGTTTGTAGAAGCGAGGTCCATGATCGGGTTTCTTTCGAAAAGACAAAATAACCGTGCACATTTTGTGATCAAGTCCCGAGTAGGGGCTAGCAGGCAGGATCACTGCTAGAAGCAGAGATCCCGCATGTCTTCCGAGATCAAGATTAGGTCGATCCGGGATCTCGATTGGCTCTCGGTCTTAGTCTTCCGTAAACATGTATAGAAATAATAGAACCTTGTATCTGGGTTAAGCTTCCAGAAGGAGTCAAAAACTTTTAGTGAAAGACATAGATCATTGATTATCCGCTCATCCTCCTCCACATACACCGGGGCTGGGGAGGGCGTCCGCCATCTGTCCATCCATTGGTCCAGGGCTGCGTTGCAGTCCCCTGCTATAATGACCGGAACCCCTCCCGGAATTTGCGTTTTAATGTTCTCAAAGGAAATTCTTCTCTCGCTCACAGTATTGGGGGCATAGATACACAGTATACATACA